AGGCCTGACCAGGCAGCCCCGCTCCCCAACCCCAAGCACTCCCTTTAACAAGGCCCCGGGGCTCAGCCAGCCCAGCAGGCCTCACAGCACTGCCCGCAAGCGCCCCTGGGGGAGCGCACGGTGACTTGGTGCTGAGGAGGTCCCCAAGGGAATTCTTGTCCTTTTAGAAGAGGGACAGCTTGGCTCATGCTGCAGGGCCAGGGTGGAGGCCGGGGTCCTGGCTGTCTCCTGGGCTCTGTGGCTGCTTCTCCTGGTGACCTTGGGTAGGTCCGTGGCCCTCAAGTCTGTCATTGATACAGTGAGGGCGGTGGACTGGAGGGCACTGGCGTCCCTGTGGCGAGGTCCCGCCACGCCTCCTTTCTTACAGCCTCAGATGCGTCGGGGTCGTGGCTAACTGACTGGACACTCCCAGACAGGTCTCCCCAGGCCCTGCAACCTCAGCGCCCACCCTAAGGTTCCTCGCAGCCTGCTGTCCCCAGCTCTGGTGTCCTGTGTGCTCTGGGAAGCCTCCCTCTGCCTGTTCCTCTCAGGGCCTCGACCTCCCTAGAACTGATCCCCTCTGGGTTTTGGATCCCTGGTGCCCCGCACAAGGCCGGGCCAGTCAGCATCACCCGCTCAGTGCTCCCAGCAGGAGCGCTGAGACCCTGGGCTTTTCCCTGGAGAGGGGCGAGGTGAGATCAGCCCCTCCTTAGATGTCTCTGCAGCCCCGTCTGTTCCCACGCGCTCCTGAAAGGGCTGCCCCAGGGCTCAGTCAGACGCTGCCTGGCTTCAAGCCTTCAGGTGTTTGTGTAAGTCACTGGGCTGCTCTGCCCAAAACATGATCCTGCCCACGCCCTTGGCACGGACCCACACAGGGCATTCATGCAGGAAGCCAGCAGGTGCAGATAAGGCCGAGGCCCAAGGATGGACGGGGTGGCAGGATGAGCCTCCTTCTTGCAGGTCTGGCCTCAGTTTGCTCATCTGGAAAATGGCTGCTCCCTGGCGGAACCAGCGCAGAGGTGAGGTGAGTCGGGAGAGGACTATGTGAACACTGTGGCTTTTCTTGCGCACTCAGTAAATCCCCAAGCCTGCCTGGGTGAGTGTGTGTGTGCACGTGCGCGCAACGTTGGGGAGGGTGCCTGGGGCAGGCTCTGGGTCAGAGGGCATCAGTGAGTTTTGAGGCTCGGACCCTTGGACTGATGCAGAAGTCAGCAAGGGCTTGGGGACAAACTAGAAAGGTCTTCTAGAAACACTGCTTCCAGGGACAGTCCCAGCCCCCTTCCTCCTGGGAGCCGCCCCCTGGGGTCTATGGGTCAGGTGCCCAGGCTTCAGCTACAACAGAGCCACTGTGTCCCCTCCTGCGGGAGCTCTTTTTTGACCTCCCTGCCCGTCTGCCCCAGGGCTGGGCTCAGTGCCTCTCCGTGCACCCCGTGTTTCCGTATTACAAGGCTCTCTGGCTTCCCCACCAGTGTGAGGTCTTTCCAGGGCAGGAAACGGTCTTCCGTATCTCAACAAGCCCAGGACAGACATATGTGAAAAGGCTTTGGGAAGGATTGAATGTTGCTGTCAATCCCGGAAGTAGGGAGGCCGTGGACTTCTTCCAGGAGAGAACCCGCCGTGCTCCAGAGAGAGGCATGGGCTAGTGTCACTTGCTCTCTTCATGGACAACAGACAACAATTTTTTTAAAGATTACTTATTTATTTGAAAGACAGAGCTACAGAAAGACAGGGAGAGACAGAGAGATCTTGCACCCACTGGTTCACTTCCCAGATGGCCACAACGACCAGGGCTGGGCCAGGCCAAAGCCAGGAATCTGGAACTCCATCCGGGTCTCCCACGCGGGTGCAGAGGCCCAAGCACTTAGGCCACCTTATGCTGCCTCCCCAGGCACATTAGCAGGGAGCTGGATCTAAAATGGAGCAGCTGGGACTCAAAGTAGGGCTCCTACGGGGTGTCGGCATCGCAGGTGGTGGCTTAACGTGCTGTGCCCAGCACTGATCCCAGTGGACAACAATTTAACAAAACTCAAGCCTGGCTGCTTGGGTGGTGAATGGGTTCTGTGATCCTTTCTGCTTGTCTGCCGTCTGTCTGTCTGTCTCTCCAGATATCCGAGTTCTTTTCCCCAGCTCTAACTCTGCCCCACAATTTCATTCCATCCGAGACACCCTTACGATGCCCGTTTCAGACATCAGGGCCACCCACCCTCCTGATTTCCCCTCTCCTCGGCCTCTGACCTGGCTTCCCCCTTCTTGGGTCTCCCACCCACGACCAGTCCCCCAGATCCTGCAGTCCCTGTGCATCTCCCTCGGTGACTTCAAAGGAGTCTCTGGGCTAAGGGATCCCTCCTGCCCCAAGAATGCAAGTCCCACCAGCCCCGAGGCTCGCTGCAACAGGGGGCGAGTTGAGCATGAGCCCCAACAAGGGCCACCGGCCCCCGCCAGCCTCGTCCAGGTTCCCTTGGGAGTTGTACCTGAACAGGAGGCTGAAAGTGGACAAAAGGTGGAGGCTTTTATAGGGTCTCCTTCTTGTTTTTTTTTTTTTTAAGATTTATTTTATTTATTTGGAAGGCAGAATTAAAGAGAGAAGGAGAAAAAGAGAGAGAAAGAGTGCTCTTCCATCTGCTGGTTCTCTCCTCAAATGGCCACAAATGCCAGGGCTGGCCCAGAATGAAGCCAAGGAGCCAGGAGCTTCTTCCAAGTCTCCCACATGGATGCAGGGGCTCAAGTACTTGGGCCATCCTCTGCTGCTTCCCCAGGCACACGAGCAAGGAGCCGGATCAGAAGCAGAGCAGCCAGGACTCGAACCTGTACTCATTTGGGATGCTGACACTGCAGGTGGTAGCTTTACCGGCCATGCCACATGCCAGGCCCGGGTCTCATCGTCTGTAGATTCAAAGATCTGAGTGATACGACGGACCTAACAGAGAAAGCAAAGCTGCGATATCCAAGTTAGCTTCCTGCCTCCTCCGCCCAGGTCTTAGTGCCCTTGGGCAAGTTGTTTTGCTCTGCTCAACTTTGGTTTACTCACCCAAGGAAGGAGAGTAGCACACTTACGTCACGTGGTTGGCATGGGAATTAATCCAGATAACCAGTGTGAAGACCAAGTGGTAGGCGGAAAGCAGGCCAGAGTCAGTGGAGGCTACCTCACATTTTAAAAACTCCCACCAGACCAATGGGACGCCCAGGACGCCCGTGGTTGTTTAAAAGAGAACGAATGTCCCCGCAGACAGCCCGGGTGGGCCGCTTAGAGGGGCAGTGCCTCCTGTGCCCTGGAGGATGTGTGACCAGGAGATTCCCTGGCAGGCACGGCGTCTCAGCATGGGGGCTGCGTTGTTTGAAGTTGGTGGCCACTGTCACCTCGCTATCGCAAGAGCCTGATGACTCATCTGCTTTCCAGGAATTCCCTGGCCAAAGTTTAGAACCGGGCAGGCCACCCAGGACAGTGGACAGCGCTGGAGCGGTGTGACTGTGCCTTGCTCCCCGGTCTGCTCTGCTTCAAAGCCCAGCATACAATTGGTTCCCCACTCCACCAAGCTAGACTGAGCTCCTACCAAGGGTCATGTCCTGGGCTAGGGAGCAGGGTTCCAGAATGAAACAAGACAGGCAATGTCCTCTCACCTCTCACCTCTCACCTCTCACCCAAGCACACAAAGACTTGCAGAAGTTCCGGCAGTCGCAGCAGGGTTCCAGTCGCCGTGATGTGAAGCCAGCAAAGCCACCAACACACACCCGGCACAGCTGCTGAGGTCATGCAGGGGCCTGGGGCAGAGCCCCCAAGGACAGGTCCACACACATACCCTCCCCATGGCTGGGGGGCAGTGCGTGGCTACACCCTGACAACTCCGAGTGAGCTCGCCGTTCCCTGGTCCCCATAGGCAGTGTATCCACCGCATACTAGGCCATGGGTTGCCCTTGCAGGCAATGCCTTCTTTCAATGCCTTCATGGAGTCCCTGTTATGCCCTACCAGGGGGGACATTCACCCCAGCTTCCAGGAGGGCCATGCTGGAGCCCCCCATGCTGATCCAGCCCACCTGGAGAGATGGAGGACGCTTCAGGACCAGGCCAGTGCGACCCCAGATGTCTCCAAGAAGGGACAACCTGGCGTCATGTGGGGTCTCTTCCTGGAGTGTTGAGACCACCCCTTCCCCTCACCCATACCTCACCCTCCACCCTCTGTCCAAGTGGTCTTCCTGAGGGTCTACCTCTGCTCAGTGGGCATGGCGTGGGAGCCCTGGGTCAGAGGTGGAAGGGGCAGAGGCCTGGCGATGGCTAACCTGCAGGTTGCTTTTCAGGCATTGGTTGTGAGCTTGGTTTCTTGAGCTCCTTTCCCACATTCCAAGCCCCCGTGTCCCTTCACACGCGCTGCCCAGGAGCTTGGGAGAGCCGGGGACACTCTCTCCACAGCATAAATGGATGCACCAAGTCCCAGCGCTCACGAGTGACTCGAGGTCGGGGACTGAGCTGGGCACAGATCTCCACAGCTCCAAACCTCCCAAGGGCTCTCGGGGCTTCCCAAGCACAGCCTGTCCCCTGTCCCAGGGATGTGCAGAGGGCCTCTGTCCCCCTGCCCCCAGATCTCCAAACTTCAAAGCAAGCAGCCCCACCCCTCCAGTGCCCTCAATGGCTCCCATTGTCCAGGAGGCAACTTGGCTTGACCCCCGGCCCCATAGGCAGCAGGACAGCGGCTTGGAGAGGAGTCTGCCTCATCCCCCGGCTCGGCTGGCCGCCTTGGGGGAGCCGTTGGGGCAGGGGCCCCGCTGAATGTGACCTATTGTCTCCAGCGTGGATTTAGGAAGTGCCAAGCTCCCATCAAACAGCCCTGCTCCCCCAGGTAAAACAAAAACAGGGCTGTTCATTTGGGACCTTTTCCCTCTTATCTCCTTTTCCTATCTCCTCGGGCTTAGCTATGGTGTAGTGTTCAAAACCACTTCCCCTCCGAGCCAATCAGAAGCCGGGGCTCCCCCCGCGGCCCTGAGGTGAAGTTATTTATACACGCCTCCCGGGATTATTTAAGCAGAGCCCTTTTGCACACCTTGGGAACACCTTTCGGCTGCCCGCTGCCCAGACGCACCTGCAACCCTGCCCTGCCGGCTCTGCTCACCCACCGGTAAGTCCCACCCAGCCCAGCCCAGCCCAGCCCAGTCCACGGGGCTGGGGGTCATCCCTGGCAGCAGCGGGCCCAGAGGTACTGAGCAGAGGGGTGACAAGAACTGACGGCTCTCGGGGTGGGCAATTTGCCAGCTTCACCCCAAGCAAGCCAGACACCCTGGCCCCTGGGGCTATGAGCAGCACCCAGCCCTGTGAGGAGCCCACTGGGTCCTCAGCTTCAAGGCAGCCAGACCCCCACCCAGAGGGAGGCGGGACAGCCGCCCCCCATGCAGGGCCTTCCTCGGGCGCCTGTCTCTGAAGCTGCTGCCTGCACCTGTTCCCTTTCTTACAAGTCTTGCAAGCACTGGCTCCTCAGCCTCTCTGGCCGGCTGGCTCTCCTCCTCCGCCCCCTCCCCGATGTCCACTTCCACACGGTCACCTGTCCACCAGGTGACCCGGGGGCCCTGGGCACCCTGAGAAGTCGGAAGAGGTGGAAGGACAGGAAGCCAGGGAGAGGGAGGGGCTGGCAGGGACCGGACTCCCAGGCAAGGGCTTCAACAGGGAAAGGGTTGGGCAAGGACAGCACCCAAGGACCCAGCTCCACGGCCTCCTGGCCTCGGAACCCACCTCGTCCTGCAGCTCCAAGAGATCCAAAGAAGCGCCTCCGTCCCCAGGATCAGCCCAGTGAGGGTCGCCAGGCCAGGCCAAGCAAACTGCTACCATCCCAGCACCCACTCCCCTCTCACCCGGCGCCGGGTCAACAGCCCAGAGGCAGGAGGAGACACCTGTCCTCCAGGCGGGGCGGCCCGAGGCACAGCCTCCCTCCACAGACAGCCCCTCGCAGAACCCACGCCGGCAGCCGCCCCTCACCCTGGCCTTACCAGTACCACCTCCGGGCATGCCCCAGAGCCTGGCCTACGGCTCACAGGCCCATTGGTGGGAAATCCGGGACGGAGACAGACTCCTCCTTGGCTTCATGTCCAGAGTCTTCCCAGGATGGATTGTTAGCGAGCATGAGCTAGTCTGGACTCAACAGCCAACATCTGAGCAGGTCCCCAAGGGAAGGGGGAGACGGAAGCTGCAGGGCCCCCTCCACAAGGGGCGCTGACCCTCACTGGGTGCCTCCCTGGACTTTGGCCAGGTCCCAGCCCCTGCTTCCAAGTGAGCCGAGCCCCAGTCTCCTTAAAGAGTAACTCAAGTGACCGTTCCAGGGATCCCATGACCTTGCCGAGGTTCCACTGAGAAAGTTCTTTCCAAAGTCTACCCTCAATCTCTTCTGTTGGAACTCGCCTCCCCTCCCCCCTCAACACCCATCCACCATCCTCAGCTTGGAAAACAGAGGGGGATGGGCGAATCTGCCTGGAGTCCAGGGTGGGGATTTGGGGGTGCCCGCAATGACTCTCTCCCTTGTGTGGGACACAGTCCCCAGCTCAGCCAAGACGGTGGGCGGGCAATTTAGGGACACCTCATCCTCCCCTCCCTTCCCTGAGGAGGAAGTGAAGTGGGGGAGGGCAGGGGATTTGCCCAGGAAACTCGGTGACCTGAGGACAGCAGGGAGAAAGAGGTTTACAAACACCTCAAGGGTGCATTGGCCTCTAAAGCCCCCTTCCTCCTGCAGGGGGCAGGGTCTGCAGCTGAGACCCTGCGCTCCTACCCATTACCCAGCCCACACACCACCCACCTCTGCACCCCTCCACCCCCCCGGAAAGGGCTCGCAACCTGGCTGAGCTGGGGGGGGGGGGGCAGTGCACGAAGGGGAGACTGCAAAAAGGAACCTTTTCCCCCCCCCCCGCTCCCAGAGGGAGAGAGTCGCCCGGGGACGCGGAACACCCAGGAAAGAGAGGCCCAGGATGGGGATGTGTCCTTGGCACCAGGTGCATTCCCAAGAAACCCCCCCCCCAATACACACACACACACATGCACACCCAGGCAGGACTCCGGAGCAAGGCAGCCTGGCCACAATGACACAATCACCTCCACCTGACCCAGCGCCACCCTGGTGGCCTGTCCCCTTCTAAAAGGATTTTCTGCACTTCCTCTCTCCAGCCCTGGGAAAGTTGGGAGAATAAGGGCCCTGGGCTGGGGGTGTAGGGGCAGACAGGGCAAGGAAGGAAGGCTGAGCAAAGCAGAGTGAGCTGCCAGAGGTGGCAGAGCCGGGAAGAGAGCGCTCTGGGGTGACAGCAGCAGCAGCCACAGCCGGAATTCACTACTGCACTCACCAGGGTCAGGCCTCTCCACGCATGCACCATACCCAAGCCCATCACTGCCCATGGGGGGCTGCGGACCTCCTGCGCTCAGCAGCAGGTGCTGAAGGGTTCGCCTTGGCTGAGCAGAGCAAGCTGGAGAACCCCGCGTAGGAATCGTCCACACACCTGCAGCTCCCGCCCTCTGCTCTCCCCTTCTTCCCCTCAAGTCCCCGCAAGCCCCATGGTGCTCCCAGGTCTCCCCAGCTCTCTGGGACCTGAACTGCCTGTCCTCCACAATGGGGAGGGACAGGGTCACCCTTTTGTTCCTCAATATTGTCACATGGCACCTGCTATTTATTCCAGGAATCGGGCTGGGGATGGGAGGCAGTGGGGGAGCCGAGGCTGTGTGAGGGGCAGGGCAGAGGATATACGCCTATGGCAACGGAGCACTCGACTTTTCCTGCCCGCTGACATCACTCGGCAGGGCTGTGTGCTTGTTTAACTAGGGATCAAATTGTCACAGCCCTTTTCCTGGCTCCCTTTTCACCTTCCCACCCCTAACCAACATCACGAGCCCCCCCCCCCCGCCCGCCCGCCCCACTGCGGCTCCCGCTGAGCCCCTCCGCCCCTCAGTGCGCTGGCTCACCTTGCCTGCCTCTCCCACCCCCAGGCTTACAGGGTGGCAGGGGATGAAGTAAGCTCCCCTCTGAGCCCCATCCCACCTCAGCTCGATTCCTGGAATCAGGGAGTATGGCAAGGGCACTTCCTTACCCGGCACAGGACCAGGAGGGGAGGCGAGAGGTGATCCAAAAGGGGCACAGCCCCCAGAGCAGGAATCCGCGTCATCACCTAGAGGTCTGGAGCCCCTTCCAACAGGTGCACTTGAGCTGGACTCAAGGCCTGGCTCAGAGCCCCCCGTCCCTACCCCACCTCTGTCCAAGAATCAGTGTCTTTACCGCAAAATGAAAGGACTGGGCCAGCGTTGTCCCCAGTTCCCTCCCAGACAAGGCCTCCAGACCCCTACCGGCCTCTGCCTTCGCCTTTCTGTGTGACGCAATCTCAGGATTGTGCAAGCTCCCGGCGCCTGTTTCTGAGTTGGAATGGGCAGAGACTAGGGGAAAGGGACGGGTGTGGGATCCCAGCAAAGCAAGGGAGGTTGGTCCCGTTGGCTTGCGTCAGGTGTGGGGGAGCCTGCCCAGAGGAGAGGGCCAGCTCTCTGAAGGATGCCCCCGGCACCCACCCCTTTCCCCTCTCCACTCCCACCAAGGGTAAGACAGGCATGGCCAGAGCCAGCAGCTGCAGAGGCGCTGGAAGTCCGTCTGGGAGAAGCAGAGATCCCTCGGGGCCAGGGTGGGCAGGAAGTGTCTCACCGAGAGAAGGAGGAGATGGGAGGAGGAGGAACTCCAGCAGGTCTCAAGGACGGGCAGGTCCAGAAAGGCAGACATGAGTCAGTGCATCTGGGGTTAGAGGAAGAGTGTGAGCAGGTACCCAAGCCTGCTGGGGGTGCGGAGGGTCCCAGCCAGCTGAACCCACGGAAACAAGGCAGGGGACGGAGAGCCGAAAGTGGCCAAGTAAGAGCTGGGCTTGGTCCCCTGGAAATGAGGGCCGCTGGAGGTTTTAGGGCAGGACGTATGGGCTGCAAGCAGGTGTAGTAGTCCGGGTGAGTGAGCTGAGACTGGGAGGGGGCCTGGAGACCATGGCAATGGACAAGAAGGAGGGGAAGGAAAGGGGGAGGAACGGAGCAGGAGAGGAGGTGGCGAGACACGGAGCTGAGCAGGGAGGGAGAGGGCAGGCCCAAGAAATGGGGCTTTCGGGAGTGGGGGAACTCGGAGAGAAGGTTTCAGCAGGGACGAACACGCACCCAGAACCTTCAGCCCCGGCAGCAGCCTGGGAAACCTGTTTCAGGGTCACAGCCTCCCGTTTGCCACAGGAACAAACCTCCCGCCACCTCCCCTTCCGAAGGGCTCTCCATCTACGATCCACCGCCCTTGACACTCTGGGCTGTGTGATGGTCTGGAGTCAAACCCCTAGACCAAGAGGGCCAGTACCGCGGGTTCCTGGGGACAGCATGCTCTCAGCTCCCAAACACAAGGCACCTGGAGGGCCAGACGCCTGCAGACCCTGGTAGGGGAGGGGAGGAGGAAGCAGGGCTGCGGTCTCCCAGGAGTCTCCTGGTGAGGAAGAGCACACCCTCCCACTTTAAGCATAGTAATCATGGCCACTACCATCTACCCAGCATCCAGGAAAGGCCGCACCACGTACGGGATCTCACTTAATCCTCCAAGCAACCGCCCTGGGACTGTTATGATCCCCATTCACAAATGAAGAAACCTCTTTAAACCTAGGTCATCCTGGCTCCGGCTGCTCTCTGTGCTTCTCCCACTGAAATCTCCCACATGCCAGCGCCCTTACTCATTTCTGCCATGTCTCCTCCAAAACACCATCACTGATTCACTCAACAAACAACAAACAGGGTCTGGGCATAGCCACAGTAGGTAGTTTCGCTCCCCAACCTTCCCTTCCGCCTAACATCAATGGGGTTTGCCAGGCATCCAACCCTGCCCCATCATTCCCGGTGGGCAGTTTGGTTGGGGAAACCCACTGAATGGGATGGACTGGCAGAGCTGGCATCCACTTAAGCACAGCTGATGGGTGATAGGAACTCATGTTGGCACCATTCTTTGCCTTTTGCATGACTTTTTGTAGCCATTAACATAGTACGTGACCCCATTTCTTGATGAGGAATCCCAGGTTCAGAGAGCTAATGCCACCAGCTCCATGTCACCAAAAGCAGGACCAGGGCCCAGGCTTCCGCACCCCTAGTGAGTGCTTTTCCTCTGCAGTGTTCGCTTCCCCCAAGGGCATCACCCAGCCTGCTCCCCTCTGACTGCCTCCTCCCTCGCCCAGGTCTGCCCCAGGGCACCAGGGGCAGCCGCTGTGCCCTGAGTGGTCACTCGTCTTCCACTGATTGTCAAATCTTCGGCCAGACTGGCCACAGCCACCCCACGCTCCCTCAGCCTGTAAATCAGCCCCATCTCTGTCCTCTGCCTCCTTTCTCCCAGCTCCAAGGGGCAGGGGGCAGGAGGAGGGGTCAGCAGTGGGAGGAAGGAGGGGGAAAGATTCCCACAGGGAGCTCCTCTGGGCCTTGAGGGGGGGGGCTGGCACTTGGCTGTGCCCAGCTCAGCTCCTGGAATATCAGCCAGGTTGCGCAAAAAGTGAGGAGGAGAGAGAGATGCCAGTCCCAGGGTGGGGAAAGCTTAGGCACAGGAAGCCGTGGGAGAGACAGCGACAGCGGCCATCCCGACTTCCCCAAACACACCATTGTCCCTCCTGGGGAAACCTGTCGGAGAAGTCCTAGGCGGCTTCTCCGAGAAGGGTCCTCTTGAGGTCACCTGGGCCATCCCCCTGCCTGCGGGCAGGCTATTCTCCCTCTTCCCTTCAAGTTCATGGCTGAATGGTATGAGCCTTGCTGCCAGGAGAGCTGAGGTCTGGGCAGGAGCTGTGGCCTGTGGGGGCACCAGGGGCCTGGGGCCATGGGGGGGGGGCAGGCTGTGACTCCTGCCCTTGAGCTCCCTCCCACCTCCTCTCTGCCTGGTGTTCGGCGGGGGTGATGGTGACGTCACAGGTGTGGAGTGCCAGCCACGTGCTGGGTGCCAAGCAAAACAGCCAGGGCGAGGGCATGCATCATCGGTGTCCGGGGAGGAAGGGCACCGCAGAAGTGAGCCTCGTGGAGAGACCTGACAGAGGGCAGGGAGGGACCTCGCTGCTGGGGGCGGGGGCCACCAAACTAAAAGTGTTGCGGCAGGGCCCGGCGGGAGGAGGCCCCGGCTGGCACCGGGAGGGCACTCCTCACTCTGCCCTTGCCGGCGTCTCCCGAAGCCTGTAAATGCCGCAGACATGAGCCAGCCCAGGCCCCGCTACGCGGTGGACAGAGCCGCGTATTCTCTCACCCTCCTCGACGATGAGTTTGAGAAGAAGGACCGGACGTACCCAGTGGGAGAGAAGCTTCGCAACGCCTTCAGGTAACGCGGCCCGGAGCCCAGGCTGTCCTTCCCTCTGCTCCCCTCCAAAACCCTTCCCAAGCCGGGCTCAGCTCCTGCACCAGGAGCCTGAAGAGGGGGCTTGGGGCAGCCCTGGGGAGGGGAGTTTCTGAACCCTGGATCTCAGTCCCCCCCTCCCCAGGAGGTTGGGGAGTAGGAGCAAGAACCACCCAGAGCTTCAGAAGGGTTCCGGGGTGTCCAGGACCCCCTGCATGGGTCTCCCCACATTCTCATCCACCCAAGTCTCTCTCGGATTTTTAAGGAGGCTGTCAGTGGAGGGGTGCGGACCACCAGAGCCCCACTCCACGTCCTGCTCCCTCCTTATCAAATCTTTGTCCACTCCTTTCTGGACGTTTCCAGGTAATGCCCAAAAGAGGCCCTAAACTCATGGCCTCCCGGCCCCCATGCTCTTTCCGGGATGATGGGGAGCAGGACGCTGTCTCTAAGGAGGGGGCACCCAAGGCAGCCTCTGCCCAAACCCCAGGAGCCCGAGGCTACAGGCCCGCCCCCCCGCCACCAACCTTCCCACACTCCTGTAGTCCTTGCTCAGGCTGTGGGCTGGCTCGCTCTCCCTCAGTCCCTGGGGGAATCAGCTGATTCAGTTACCTGGATTGAGGTCGCAGGCAACGGCTGAAGTGGAGATGCAGGAGGAACTGGTTCGGGCCGGGGGAATCACCCACTTGAGTTTTACTAAAAGTCCCAGCCCAGCCCTGCTTCTCCTAGGAGGCCCCACCTCAGCCCAGTCACGGTCAAGCCCTTGAGTGCCCAGGGTCGGGGCTCTGTGCCCACAGGTGCACTGCTCAGGCGGGTGGGGTCTTTGCGCCCAGACAGTGTAAGTTGCGTTGTTTCCATGCTGCAGAGAGAGGATCTGCTGTTGTCCCAGGGGATTAGGACGAGGAAAACTACAAAGGCGCGCGGGCGACAACGCCCGTGGTGCTGGCACGAGAGTCTTGAGCAGGGCTTGGCACACAGAAGGGGCCCCGATTGGTATCTGTTGGAAGAATGAATGAATGTCTAGAAAGCTAATCCCTGTCTCCACTGCCCTCTTGCCTCTGGGGTTCGTACAGGTGCCTGGCACCTGTGTGCAGCTCCTCTTTAAGCTTCAGACGGCTTTGCCCAGCACACGGCAGCTCTGCAAGTGAGACTGGGAGCCACTGGCCCTTGCAGGAGTGGCTTCCTTTCCTCCGCCAGCTCTGTGTTCATGAGTCCAGCTTGGCTGCCACAAACACAGCTGGCGGAGCCAGGCTTTACAGGTGCCGTCAGCCATTGGTCCCCAGTCCCAGTCCCCTTCCACCGTCCCAGGGACAGGGGAGGCACCCGTGGGCCACAAGGAGACGTGGGGAGTGGGGGGGGGGGGACATGTTGATGGCGATGATGCTCCACGGGGCCTTCACTGGGGTGGAAAAATCTACCCAGACTTCCCAGGACACAAAGCATTGTCTGTGTTGGTTTCAGTCTTGGGTGACATCCAGGGGACCCAGGGTCAGGGAAACTATTGTTGAGCAAGAGCAAAGAGCAGGAGTTGGTGCCGGGCAGGAAAAGAGGCCTAATCAGAGCAGGCCAGTGAGTCACCAGATGGAACCTGGGTGTTTGAGTTCCCTCATCTGGGAGAAGAAAAGCCAGTGCCGCCCCCCGCCCCCTCCTCCCCACCCTGCGCCAGTCATCAATCCACCAGCTGTCACCCTTGAGTTTGTAGGCCCTTGTTCCTACCGCTCCCGAGTTTCAGTGAAAGGACCTCACGGTGTTTAACAAACAGGGAAGGGATCAACCCTCCCCACCGCACGCTGACCCGTGAACAGCTTTCCCATTCCTCCCTCCTCCGCCGGGGATTTAGCAGGGAAAGAACCCCAGGTCTGGAGTCGCCACGCGTAAGGGCTGGCGACTCAGCAGAAGCACAGCCCGCAGGGACAACACAGCCTTCTCTGGGAGGGGGAAGTTCAGAGAAACATGGCAGCAGGCAGCCCACCCTGGGACTCAGGATTCATTAGTCAGCCGTTCCTTCATTCAACATCTACGGAGCACCCTTGTGTAACACCCACGGTGTGCGGGATGGTCGAGAGAGACAGACTTCTCACCTCGGTAGGGTTTGCTGTCTATGGAGAGAGATGTGCGCAAGGCAAGCACGGGGTGCCCATGATGCTTCAGGGGCCCAGCCCAGGCTGCCCCGGCGTGCCTTTGCCCAGCCTTCCTGGAGAAATCCACCTGAGCCCCTGTAGCACCCACCCGTCTCAGCCAGGGTGTGTAGATGTAGACTTCCCCGGTGAGCAGCCACAGCCAGAAGCTCTGCAGCTGGGGCCCCGGGCACGGGAGGGGCTTGGAGCAGAAAGCTCCTGCCTCTTCCCCTTGGTCTCTCTGGTGTACGTCACAGTGCTGGTGCTTAGTACCTGCCTGACATCTGAGAGCCTTCTGCACGAATGGGTGAGGGAATGAACGGGATGCTACGATCCCTCTGCAAGTCAGAGTACCCCAGCCGTGCAGGGCCATCTGAAAGCCCCCTCTCCCCCTCCAGATGTTCCCCAGCCAAGTTCAAATCCCTGCTCTTTGGGCTGCTGCCCGTGCTCTCCTGGATTCCCAAGTACAAGATCAAAGACTACCTTGTCCCTGACGTGCTTGGTGGACTCAGCGGAGGCTGCATCCAGGTCCCACAAGGTGAGGGCCCCCCAGCCGGCCCGCTGCTCCCTGCTTCCCTCCCCCCACCCCACCCCACCCCTCTGTGACCCCGATGAGCCGACAGCGCTCCTAAGTGTTCCTGTTCTCCGCAGGCATGGCATTCGCTCTGCTGGCCAACCTTCCGCCCGTCAACGGCCTCTACTCCTCCTTCTTTCCCCTCCTGCCCTACTTCTTCCTCGGGGGCATACACCAGATGGTACCAGGTAAGACCGCTCCTCTCCTGGCCAACAGCATGGCCCAGCCCTCCAGGATGGGTGGTGCGGCAAAGGGGCCTCCTGTGCTTTCCCACATGTGTTCTAGAGCGAGGACCAAGGTCCTGGAAGGACCTTGTGACCTTGGAGAGACCATGAGCCCCCGTGTACTCGGTCAGCACGACCCATTCCTTCTTCCTCCCAGGCCATGGGGAAGACTTGGCTGCAAAGGGTTAAACAGAGGTCAGGCATCACAGGTGCCAGCAGGCCACCGCAGGGCAGGACACATGGCGCTCTCTGAGAAAGGGGGCTGGATTCTGGTCCAGGCTTAGCTTGCTTCGCTCAGCCCATTTCTTCACATGTCCAGTGAGATAACGTTGACAGCGTGGGTGGCAGCTCCCTGGAGAGGGCAGATGCTGGCTACACGCCATGGGGATTGTAATACAGGACAGGGGGCATGGCTGCGAGGAGGCTCTCCCCTAACCCTCCCCACCCAGGGATTGGGAAGCGTTCCTGGGCCGCTTGCTGGTTTCCAGGGAAGTGGTCCGAACCTCTGATTTTTACCACAGGAACCTTTGCCGTCATCAGCATCCTGGTGGGCAATGTCTGTCTGCAGCTGGCCCCAGAGTCCAAATTCCAGGTTTTCAACAACGCCACCAATGAGACCTACGTGGACACAGCAGCCATGGAGGCCGCGAGGCTGCGCGTGTCAGCCACACTCGCGTGCCTGACCGCTGTCATCCAGGTGAGGGGGACGGCCCCGCCCCTGCCAGGGCCCATCCAGGAGGGCATCAGACCCCACCCCAGGGCCCGGAAGTACCTAGAGAATTCAGGTGGTCCTGCTCCATGAGCACAAGGGGTCTTTAAACAGTTCATGGAAAGTGCATATCATGAAAAAGCTATGCGTGGATTTCAGAAAACTTTTTACCCAAAATAAACATATTTTTAGTTCATTTTTCCTTTGAACTTTTCTTAAAAAGTTTATTTGAAAGGCAGAATGATAGAGTGAGGGGGAGGGAGTGGAAGAGACAGATCAAAGTTTCATCCTCTGGTTCACTCTCTAAATGGCTGCAACGGCCAGGATTGGTCCAGACCAAAGCAAGAGCCCAAAGCTCCATCTGGGTCTCCCAAATGGGTGGCAGGGGCCCAAGCACCTGGGCCATACTCCACTGCCTTCCCAGCCACATTAGCAAAGAACTCGACGGGAAGTGGAGCAGCAGGACTCAAACACCCTGATATGGGATGCCAGTGTTGCAGGCAACAGCTTAGCTCTGTGTGCCCCAATGCCAGCCCCTCCCCGAGCCTTTGCCATGCCTTCTCATTCACACATAAGACCAGCTATGGCAGCTGAGCTTAAAGACCACCCAAAACCCTCCAGCCGCTCCGTCCCACGCCTGGAGCAGCCAGCATCCCCTCCAGCCTACTGTGCTGCAAGCCACAGCATCGCCTGCACAACACAAAGTGGGCTTGTGCACAGGAACTGGGTTAGGCCCTGAGGATACAAAGCTAAGTAAGAAAGAGGCCCACGGCACAAGCTGCTGCCAGCCCAGTGGAGGACGTAGCCATGTCAGCAGATAAAAGTGTATGCGGTGGGGCTGGATAGAAATAGCTGAAGGAGCACAGACAAGGCAATCCGAGGAGACATCCAAGCGGAGGTGACATCTGAGCTCAGTCTCATAAGATGAGCAGATGATAAAGGTAGGGAAGGCCGGTGCAGGCAGAGGGAACGCACTGAGGACTAAGCGAATGGGATTGGACCGGGCAGTGCAGGGGCTTGGGTGTGTCTGGAGCATAAGGGACCCAAGAAGAGGCCAGAGAGGTAGGCAAAGGCCAACATGAAGTGGGGGGTCTGTCCCCCGAGCAGCGGCTTCGGGTTGGATTTCTAAGAATCATTTGGGCAATGGAGTGTATGACAGGTGGGAGGTGGGTTAGGATCAAGGCAGGGACCTGCTGGGAGGCTTTGCAGAGGCCCAGGCAAGAGTGTGGGGGCCATGGAGAGGGAGACGGGGTGACTTCAGGGGCACTGTGCCAGGAGCATCCACAGAGCTTGGGGAGAGATTGGCCGTGGAAGGAAGGGAGGACAGCGGGACAGGCAGGTGCCGTTTACTGAGAGAGGAGCCGGGCGGGGCCTGGTTTGTGATACAGATAAGAAAAGTGGAGCCAGAGAGTTGAGGTGACAAGGAGATGCCTGCTTTAAACAGAATAAAGGGCTGATGGCGGGTGCCTGGGGCACAGTGAAGGGCAGGCCAAGGTCATGGAGGACTCCTTTCTCCAGAGCCGTGCTGTCCCAAGGCAGCATGGAACTCAGCCCGGGTTTGGGTTGGGCGGTTGCAGAGCGGTTGTCCCACCTCAGTCTCCCCCTGCCACCCCTTGTCTCCTTTCAGATGGGCCTGGGCTTCATGCAGTTTGGCTTCGTGGCCATTTACCTCTCCGAGTCCTTCATCCGGGGCTTCATGACGGCTGCCGGCCTGCAGATTCTGATCTCAGTGCTCAAGTACATCTTCGGACTGACCATCACCTCCTACTCGGGCCCAGGGTCCATTGTCTTTGTGAGTCAGGGACACACTCCTGCAGGTGGGACGGGGGGGGGGGGGACTCCAGCAGGTGCCTGAGCAGAGACCCCCGGTGCAAGAAGCTGGAAGAACCTCTGTGGGCGGTGTTCACAAGCACAAGTGGCTGAGCCATAGCTCCCAGAGGAGGACTCAGAGGGCGGGGGTCCCGCAGCGGAGGGAGGGTCGAATACCTGATCTCCAGGGCTCGCTGGGCCCTGGGTTAACCCTGCAGAAGAGGACAGGGGCACTCCCCGTCAGTTCCCACTCCAGAGCCTGGGCCCCGCCCTGCCTGGTGAACCTTTCCCTAGGTCTAACCCCTCCCTCCTCTGTGAGCTTGAACTCTTTTTTTCTTTTAACTTTTTAAAAAATTAATTTATTTGGAAGGCAGAGTTAACAGAAAGAGAGAGGGAGAGACAAAGAGAGAGAAATCTTCCATCCACTGGTTCACTCCCCAAATGATGGCAGTGGCTGGGACTGGACCAGGCCAAAGTCAGGCACTGCATCCGGGTCTCCCACGTGGGTGCAGGGGCCCAAGCACTTGGGCCACCTTTGGCTGCCATCCGAGGCACATCAGCAGGGAGCTGGATTGGAAGCGGTGCAGCCAGGGTTCATATGGGATGCCAGCGGCAGCTTACCCTGCTGTGCCACAACAGCAGCCCAGCTTGACCTCTTTGAGAGAAAGAGAAAGAGGAAGCATCCCTGTCCCCGTGTGGGCTCCCCAAAGAGCCCTTTGGGTGAGGGGAGGGGGGCTGGTGGATGGGATGCCGCTCACCCCTGAGGACTGGCCAGGCACCTCAGGGTGCGGGTCACCCAGGAGGAAGGGGTGGGAACTGTGGGCACGATGCTCTCTCCGCAGACCTTCATTGACATTTGCAAAAAGCTGCCCGACACCAACATCGCCTCCCTCATCTTTGCGCTCGTCAGCGGTGTGGTGCTGACGGTGGTGAAGGAGCTCAACGCGCGTTACATGCACAAGATCCACTTCCCCATCCCCACGGAAGTGGTCGTGGTAGGTGCCTCGCCTGGGCGCCCCTGCCTGCCCCCGGTGCAGTGGGACGGCAAATCCCCTGGGATGCGGCGCTTCCTCTCTCCCAGCTCCTCAGCCTATGGGACCTGAGGTCCCCAAGGGAACTTGGGAGAGACTGGCCCCTCTTTATGGCCAATGCCCATTCTCCTCTGTGGGGTTGCAGGTGGTGATAGCGACAGCTATCTCTGGAAGCTTTAAGATGCCCCAGAAATACAACATGCAAATCGTGGGAGAGATCCAACTAGGGTGAGTCCAGTGGCCCAGACCCTGGCCCCACCCCCAGCTCATGGCCCACCCACCCAGGCCTGGGCTCGGAGACGGACTTGAGGACCTCTGTGAAAATGCCTTAGAAACTGTATGCCACTGAGCACATGCGAACTGTCACTACTTACTTACTTACTTACTTACAGTCCTTACTCCTGAGAAGGCCCACATGCAGGCCAGCGCTGGCCGCCTTAGGCAAAGTGAGGCCGCTAACCAAGCCCCTCCCATCACGCCCTTGCTGTCTCCTCCCCCCGCAGAAAGGAAGCGCCAGGCCGAACCAAATCCATTTAGTATCTGGGCTGTGCCAGGCACTTCGCTGGGCCCTGGGAGGGGGTGGACAGTGCCTGTCTTGCAGCAGTGGAGCAGGCGGGGGAGGGAAGGTCCCACAGCCCTGAGGGCCTAGGTCTGCGGGTTTGCTGGTGTGAACAGTCCAGAATCTAGGTGCAAACAAGCAAGGCCCTGCCCTTCACCGGCTCCGTGCCCTCGGACGAGTGAAATCCCTTAAGCCTCGGTTTGCTCCTTTGTAACACAGGAGCCATGGTGCCTGCTGGGAGGGGTACCTGCCAGAAAGACCTTGGTGTGGAGCATGGGGGGAGCGGGGGGCGGGGGATGTCTGGCTGCTCCCTGCGAGCCCTCCCTGTCCTCACACCCTTGGACCCTGCGTCCTTTCTGGCTCCCCGGCAGGTTCCCCGCTCCAGTGTTGCCTGTGGTTTCCCAGTGGAAAGAAATGTTTGGCACAGCCTTCTCCCTGGCTATTGTGAGCTATGTCATCAACCTGGCCATGGGCCGGACCCTGGCCAACAAGCACGGCTACAACATAGATCCGAACCAGGTAACTCCGGCCACGCCAGCAGGGGCCACAGAAATCTTGGGGCTCCCTGGGCTGAGCTGAGACAAGGGGTAGGGGACTCTGGCCCCCAGAAGCTGGTAGGGCCACCCTCAGCTCCTGGGCCCGAGAGGCAGCCTGCACAGCTGCCTGCCTTCGGCCGCTGCCTCCCCAGCCCTGCCCTGTTCCCGCAGGAGATCATTGCCCTGGGTTGCAGCAACTTCTTCGGCTCCTTCTTTAAAATCCACGTTATCTGCTGCGCTCTCTCGGTCACCCTGTCCGTGGACGCAGCTGGAGGGCGTTCCCAGGTGAGCTCTGTACTGGGGGACGGGAGGGAGGTGGCAGCAGAGCAGTGCTCCCCAAACCAGGCCAACTCTGCTCAGCCCTCCTCTCTCCTCCTGTCTCCACGCCACCAAAGGCAGCTGTTGGGAAAAAATCAACAGCAGGAGTTTCACCCCCACCTGTTTCCAACTCTCCCTGAATAGATCGCAAGCCTGTGCGTGTCTCTGGTTGTGATGGTCACCATGCTGGTCCTGGGGTCCTACCTGTACTCCCTCCCTAAGGTAGGAACCCGGCCCGAGAGCAGAAGACAAGACACTCCCATGAGGCCAGTGTGTGGCCCGTCACAGATCACAGGGTGCCGTCGCTGTCACACTCAGGCTCTGCCGAGATCTTAAAGCAGACGGTGCAGGCTTTACTCTCCCCATTGTACAGATGAGGGAAACTGAGGCTGAGAGTGTGCTCCATGTGTTCTGTCCGGAGTATGACAGCTCATAGGGCAGGGCTGGTCTCAAACTGCAGCCTTCTGTGAGTGCCAGCACGATATGGCCCCCTGGAGAGCTCAGGTGCAGGCCATTTAGGGTCAAGAGGCAAGAGAGGGCACAGATGGAAGCAGGGTGGAGCCCCTGGCTCTGGTGCCTGCTCACTGCAACCTAAGGCAGAGGGCAGGGGTTGGGAGTGGGGCTCTGCAGGGTGGTGACCTGGAACTCTAGCTCTGTCCTCCTGGGCCCAGGGTCAGGTAGTGGCGGAAACACAGGAGGAAGGGCACAGAGCGGGTGACCGGGGGCAATGCTGTGTTTCCCCAGTCTGTGCTAGGAGCGCTGATCTCTGTCAACCTCAAGAACTCCCTCAAGCAACTCGCCGACCCCTACTACCTGTGGAAGAAGAACAAACTGGACTGTGTAGGTACTGGGCAGCCTGGGCACCCTCTCCATCCCTGCCCTCCTCTGACCCACAGCCCTGCCAAGTAGCCCAGGCCTGATGCGGAGCCTTCTGGTCGGCTGCCACCCCCACCCCAGCACAGGGGTCAAGGGTCAGGTTTCTGAGTGAGGCGGCCTCTATCCAAATCCTCAGTCCGATGTTCAGCTGGCTCTGTGGCCAAGAGCAAGTCCCTTAAACACTCTGACCCTCAGCTTCCCCATCTGCAAAGTGGGTATTTCACCCTCTCCACCCCTTAGGGTCGCTTATGAGGAAGAAATGACACAATGTGTGCAAGCTGCAGATTGTCTGAATTGTGGTTTGCACACAGTAAAATGTAGCCGTTGTTATTCCTGCAAATGCAACACCAAAACAGAGGAAGGAAACAGTTCACACAAAGGGCCTAGAAAAAAGTAAAGCCGGAGGACCAGGGTCTGGGGCAAGTTGCTGCATTCCCCGGGGGTTCTGGTTCCTCACTTGGAAATGGAGGTGTGGTCATGGCTGTGTCATACACTGGTTCTGAGGATTAAATGAGCTCACGGTGGGAAAACACCAGGTAACCATAAACATTCGCATGCATGATGCACACCCCCCACCCCCACCGCCCTGCCTATGCCACTGTCAGCACTGATCATCTCCATGAAGCCCCACCAGCACCTGCGAGAAGGGATTTACTAACCCCCTTTAAAGATGATGAAACCAAGACTCAGATTGGTTAAGGAAATCATCAAAGACCGCAGAAGCAGGAAGTGTAGGGTGAAAGGCAGAGTTATGAAGAGAGAGGGAGACAGAGAAAGAGGTCTCCCATCCACTGGTTCACTCCCCAGATGGCCACACCAACGGAGCTGCACCGATCCGAAGCTGGGAGCCAGGATCTTCATCTGGGTCTCCCGTGTGGATGGCAGGGGCCCAAGCTTTCCCAGGTAGATTGGGAGCACAGCTCATATGCGATGTCGGTGTCACAGGTGGTGACTGAACAACACCGACCACAAGTCTGAGTTTTGAACTCCAAGCCTCTGAGCTGCCCTGGCTCCTAGGGAGACCAGCTCAGCCGCATGGTGCAGAGAAGGAATCCTAAAGCAAGAAAAGTGAGGGTCCATCGGGGTGCCCCAGGAAAGGGTGAGGACAGGGAGAGAACTTCAGCCCACCGGTCTGCTTTATGACCTCCAGCCCTCTGGCTGCTTGGCGAGAGCCCCTTACGCCCACGTAGTGCCCTGGTTCCCGTGTGAGCTTCACCACAGTTCCCTGTTGGTTTCCTTTCGAGGGACTGGGGTTTCCCTAAAAGGAAACAACTCTCAAAACCCGGTCCAGTCCTAAGCACCCACACAAGTAGGCCCAGGCTAACAGGCTGGGCATGTACAACTGGCTAATGAGATAGGGATACAGGGGCCCACGTTGTGGCACAGAGGGCAAAGCTGCTGCATGTGACACCGGCAGCATCCCATATGGGCGCCGGTTCAAGTCCCGGCTGCTCCACTTCTGACTCGGCGCCCTGTAAATGCGCCTGGGAAAAGCAGCAGAAGATGGCCCATGTGTTTGGGCCCCTGCACTCACATGGGAGACTCAGATGAAGATCCTAGTTTCTGGCTTCAGCCTGTCCCAGCCCTAGCTGTTGCGGCCATTTAGGGAGTGAACCAGTGGATGGAAGATTCTCTCTCTCTCTCTCTCTCTCTCTCTCTCTCTTTCTCTCTCCCTTTCCCTCTCTCTGTTACTCTGTCTTTCAAATAAATAAATAAATGTAAAAAAAAAAAAAAAAAAAAAAAAAGAAGGCCCACACAGGTCCTGGTTGCTGCCGAGGGCTCTCACTAGGCTAGAAATGTTCCAGTCCCCACCTGTTTAATCCTCGCAGGAAGCAGGTGTTGTAATTCCCCCTTTGTGGATTGGGAAACCGAGGCTCACATAGCTAGTAAGAGAATCGCATTTTGAACCCAAGCATGCTCTTTCTCTGTGTGTGCTGGGGTTGTCACTAAACAACAACAACAAAACAGACCAGACATGACAGCTGCACTCAGTTGCAGGGAGCAAATATGTCAGACGTTGCAAAATGTTTGAAGGCATTTAAAAGGGAGGGTGGGACTTGGCTAATCCAGGAAGACTTCCTGCAAGAGACAGCTTTCCCCAAGCCTGCTCTTGCTCTCTCCTCACAGTGTGTCTGGGTGGTCAGCTTCCTCTCCTCCTTCTTCCTGAGCCTGCCGTACGGGGTGGCCGTGGGGGTCACCTTCTCCGTCCTGGTGGTGGTCTTCCAGACCCAGTTGTAAGTAATGGCCTCTGTGTCCCAGGCGTAACACAGGGGAGGGTTCCTGGGGCCTGGCTGAGCCCAAGGGCCTTCCAGCTTCCTGGCCTGAGCCTGGCCAGCCCGCTGCAGCCAGGACTGTGGCACAGGCTGGGCCGTCTCCCTTCTCACATCCCAAAGCCCCAGAGGAGGCCAGTGTGGTCCTAGAGGGCTGGGGTCGGAGGGTGGGGAGAGAAAGTGAGGGAAGAATGGGTGGGAGAGACTCAGTGTCCTGCCAAAGGCACTGCCAGACCCCAGGCCGTGGGACCCCAACCCCGGAAAGCCCTGGGTCCGAGGACAGCTGTGGGGTCCTCACTACATAAGAGGAGGTAGGAGGAGTCCAAGGTCACAGGGGCGCGGGGTCCACACCAGGACGAGAGGCAGGGAGTGGTGACCTCAGGGCCACTGAAACTTGTCACCTGTGTGCCACACATCCCTCTTCTCCCCTGAGTCCCATTTGGGGTCCTTATGAGGGGCCTGTCGGTCATCCCCCTGGCTGTGGGCTCAGCTGCAGGTGGTTAGGGTCTCCAGTGCAGAAAGGCCAGGACCCTGCTCCCTGGCTCCGCCCCCGCCCCGCCCCCAGCATCCTCCCAGACCTTCACATCACCAGCATTCACTTGAGTTCTTCTTTTCTTCTCTCCTCCAGTCGAAACGGTCATGCTCTGGCCCAGGTTGTGGACACGGACATTTATGTGAATCCCAAGGCCTATAGCAGGGTAGGTAATCCACACAGACCTGGGAGGCAGCAGGTGATGGCTCAAGTTCCTGCCACCCATGTGGGAGACCTGGATTGCCATCTGGGCCCCTGGGCGTGGCTGGCCCCATCCTAGCTGTTCAGGGACTCTGGGGAATGAATCAGTAGATGGTTGCCCTCTCTCTTTCTCCCCATCTCCATCTATTCTTTCTCTACCTCTCAAATGAAAGAAGAAAAAAAAAAAGCCCATCCATTTCTGTGATCTGAACTCAGTCTCTCCGCCCAGGTCCAGGAAATCGAGGGGATTAAGATCGTCACTTACTGCTCCCCTCTCTACTTCGCCAACTCAGAGATCTTCAGGCAAAAGATCATCTCCAAGGTAAGACTCAGTCTGTACCAGCGCGGGGCGGGGGGGGGGGGAGGCCACGCCCACAGAGGGTGGAGCTCAAGGTTGCTGCTGGCTGTCTCCCTGCAGACAGGTATGGATCCCCAGAAAGTATTACTGGCCAAGCAAAAACAGCTTCGGAAGCAGGAGAAGATGAGGACGATGCCCACACAACAGAGGGATTCGTTGTTCATGAAAACCAAGGTGACCTGAGGCCAGGGTCGGCCACCGTGCCCAGTGCCCCGCCCACTCTGCTCTTGCCCAGCATCCTGAGGGCACAGCTGGAGGTTTCTGTGAACTGGTGTCCCAGACCTTCCCCGTGGGGGAAGGGCTACCAGCTCTCAGGGTGACCGCGGAGCTCCCAAGGCCCCTGCCCATTTCCTGGCTGAGGCAGGACGCTGCCCATGAGTTGGCTGTGGACTTGTGAAGATCCCCAGGTGGGGAGCAGCTGTGAATTTCCTGGGGCACTCAGCCAGCCCAGAGCTGGCGGCGCTGAGCAGGCTGGGGCTGTGAGCTCAGCTGTCTCCCAAGGGACTTCCTCCTAGAACACAGCGGGCTGGGACCAGCCTCTCTCGGAAGGGCCTCCCGACTTAGAATGATAGGACACCCGGCTTGCAGGCCCTGCCTAAGGGAGGGGTGCTGGGAGAGGCCTCACCTCCTCCACGTGGGCCAGCCCACCTCCACCTGCAGCCTGCGCACCAGGCTGGTGCAGCAGTCCTCACTGCTTCCCCTCCCCCCCGCAGACCGTCTCCCTGCAGGAACTCCAGCAGGACTTCGAGACCCCCTCCCCCACGGACCCCAACAACAACCAGACGCCCGCGAATGGCGCCAGCATATCGTACATCAACTTCAGCCCCGCCACCCCCTCGGCTGCCCAGGGCGAGCCCCCGGCCCCTGCTGAGCCCCTCAGTGAGCCTGACGCCACGCTGGCCAGCGTCCCGCCCTTCATCACTTTCCACACCCTCATCCTCGACCTGAGTGGGGTCAGCTTCGTGGACTTGATGGGCATCAAAGCCTTGGCCAAGGTGAGGCTCCCATACACTGCTATTCCTCTGAGCCCTCATTTCCACATGCCGAGGGAGGCTGAGGTCCTAAGGATCCCCTTTGCCCAGACTGGACCAGGACAGGGCATCCCAGTCCGAGCAGGCCCAGACAGCTGGCGACAATTAGTCGCTGGAGAGGGCATCAGAGCTTCAGGCCCTAATGTCACACCACGCCAGCAGAGGCCACCCCAAGTTCCCCACCCCGGGCCACCAGGGTCCTCTGAGCAGAGCCCAGCTTGGCCCTGGCTCACGGTCTGCACTCATCTGCCAGCCTAGGACAGGACAAGAAGTAACCCCAGTGGCCAAACAGCCTCAGGACACTGGAAAGGAGTGTGCCCACCTGATAGCTTTCTCTGGCCACTCTGATGGTGGGGCTCAGCCAACTTCAGGTGGCTCAGATGGAGGCCAGCCGGGGTGGGGGGGGCAGAGGGGCACAGAGGGTGTGCCGGCTGAGTCACCCTCAGCTGGGCAGAGAAGACCACCGCGCCCCCCCCCCCCACCTCGTGCCTCAGCCTGCTTCCCCGGCCGCCCCTGGCTGCAGCCCCTGCCTCTTTGCTGTGGCTTCTGCATTAAGCATCCAAGTGGGGAAAGAGGTGGGGGCTGGGGCTCAAAGTTACTGAAGGCCAAGCTTGGCCCCACAGGAAAGGGCCCACGTTTCCGCCCGCAGCCGGCACTCCAGGTAGAAGTGGTGTGCTCTGCTGCTATTTTTACCTGCACTGCCGGGGCTCTCAGGCTTGCTTGTTTGCTTGGCTTCCCCCTCTGAAGTGTGTTTTGTGAATCACCTCCGATACCCGCTTAGAACATTCCTTTTCTCTCCCCACTGGATTCTGGCAGCTGAGCTCCACGTACGAGAAGATCGGAGTGAGGGTCTTCTTGGTGAACATCCACGGTAAGACAGGGGGGACATTGAGGGTGTGGACGGCTGGCAAGGGGGCTGGGGTGCGTGGGAACAGGGTGCTGAGGCACCAAAGAGTGTGGTACCCCATGGTTCCCCCAAACTGCTGAGTGCCCATAGGAGCTTCTGATACAAGTGAAAAGACATTGGCCAGATTCTAGGAACACCCCCCAGGCCTCGCAGGCAGTGGTCGGGGAGGGGTCCTGGAGTTGGGGAGGGGAGGCTTGGATTCTGAGCTGCCCCATCATTAGCTTGCCAGGTATCCTTGGCCAAGTCTATCTGTCTCTGGATCTACTTTCATGCGTGTGGGAACGCTCTCTAAATTAGAGTCCACACATCTATACAAGCACAGAGCACACGCGCGCCCTGAGCGCCCAGGGAACACAGAAATGCGGTTTTAGAGGCACACCTTCTACGTACAGCCCGGAGGACCTGGCCACCGAACAGAAGCCACAGGAGAGAGGCAGGGGCTCCAGCCAAGGGCAGCCAGGGAAGCAGGCTGAGGCACGGGATTCACACATTTGCAAAGTGCAAGGACAAAGACAGGCAGCAAGTGTTCTCACGCACATGACGCTTGGGGCAGGGGGGTGAGGGGGGAGGGGGAAGCACCGCACACACGCCCAGCTTCTTGCAGAGGGTCGAGGGTCAGATCCCCTCCGACAGGGCTGCCCGTCCCAGATGTTGTGGGGCCCCCACTGGAGAGGGAATCTGTGACAGCCTGCTCCCGAGTTAGACTCCGTGGTCCTTCCACCCCCGCTGGACAACCCCCAGGAAACCATCCCCAGGAATCGGTCAGAGCTGTGCCCTGGAGATTGCAGGAAAGGTCTGGGGGAATGAGGAAAGATGGCATTCCCAAGTTCACGACGCCCCCTGTCGTCCAGAACTGATACTGCAATGCAGGAACAGCCCCTGGGGCCTGTCGGCCCTTCCCTCCCTGCCGCGGTCTCTCCAGCCTCCCCCACCCAGCTCCCGTCCACAATGGCTGTCTCCCTCCGAACACGGTCCCTCCTCCTTCCAGCCCAGGTGTACAATGACCTCAGCCACGGAGGCGTCTTCGACGACGGGTGTCTGAAGCGCCACCACATCTTCCCCAGCACACACGATGCCGTCCTCTTTGCCCAAGCAGATGCCCGAGAGGCGGCCCCAGGACACAGCTTCCCAGGGGTAAGGGCCCTGTGCCTGGAGTCCTAGGCACGAGAAAGAACACGGAGGGAGGTTTGAGTACTGCGTCAGCGCTGCCATCTCCCTTTTCTGAACATCGGTTTCCTTAGCTGTAGAATGGGCGCTGTCAGTTGCCATTAACTACCTCACGGGGTTTTGCTTTTGCTTTAGGATTCAATAATTGTATCTTTTATGTCACTTGAAAGCACGTTTTATATCGCAGAAGTCCTTTATTAGCATCAATTTGCTGATTGCACAAACACCCAGAGCTTAGCACACGATACCCAGTGTCCCGGCATCACCCATCCGCCTCTTTGGGGAGGCGGGGAGCGAGCCTGCCCCTTGTGATTCAGTGGACCTTGGAGAGCTCAGGCTGGTGGTGAGGGAAAAGGGCAGGCCGGGGTTTTAGCACAGCTTCTTGCATTTGATCTCCTAGCTCAGTGAGATATAGATAGCGCTGTCTAGACTCCAGAGAGATGAGGGGTCAGAAAAAGCCCACCCCATTGGGGTCCCTACCCAGGTATTCCCAGCCACACTCCACTCCCCAGAGGTCCCTCCTGGCCCAGCCAGGGCACAGCCCCTGCCCCTGACCCCTCGAGACTACCCCAGTCTTCTGTATAGTCCTCCCCACCCCCCACCGTGGTCTAAGAAAGACTTTGTTGGCCCTGGAGCAACGATTTGTTCTTTGCCTCAAGAGACCAATAGAAGGGAAGTCACCTGTTCCAAGCCCTGAGAGGCTGCCCTGGGGGGACCCAAGGCTCAGGCTCGGCCCTCTGCCCCCGGGGAGCCCCTGTTGCACAGGGCAAAGGCAGGAGCTCGGAACACAATCCGGGTTTTCCGTGTGGGTGGCAGGGAACTAAGTACTTGAGCCATCACCCGCTGCCTCCCCGGTGTGCATCGCCAGGAAGCAGAACTGGAACTCAAACCTGGCGTTCCGATATGGGAGGCAGGTGCCCAGGTGGCATCTTCGCTGCTGCACCTAACACCTACTCAGGGCAAAAGCATATCCGTGCATAGTCTTTTTTATAAGACGCATTTGATTTTTACTTTGAATTCCCCTCTTACGGGATCAGTTCATACATAGAAGCTGCACACAGTCCTTTCCAACAGCAGGAGGAGGGGAAAGCCTGCAAAGCCAGTCTGACTGTCCCACTTGACAGATTCCCAGAGGCAGGAGGGAATCCCTGAGTACCCCTTGCAAGCCAGGTGACTCCTCTGCCTCACCAGGCCTGCAAAGCAGGGCGGACCCTGATGCACCCCTCTCTGGTGTACGGGGAAGACCACAGCTGGCCCATACGGGGTGTGGCAGGTGATACAGGTGAAGGAAAGGACAAGAGGACAAGTGAGGTGGCAGGGAACGTGACGTCCACCCATGACTGCCACGGGTGCCTCTTCTGACCACCATGCACCAACTGGGTGGCTCAACACTGTGGCTCATCTGCACCTGCTTATCCCTTCCAGGTTCCCGAGGACAATGAACACTCCTTGTGCAACTCAGAGGAGGAGAGCCCCAGCTACTGGGACCTAGAGCAGGTGAGCCGAAGGCCGGGGGCTGCAGGGTGGCAGGGGGCATGAGAGGATGGGAAGAGACCTTCCCAAAAAAGGCATTCACTGGGCCCTCTCACCTCCAGGCCAGAGCAGTCACCTTGCAGGCAGCCGCGCCGCGTTTCCTCCTCCTCTTTCTTTTAATAGCAGATCTTAATTCTTCTCCCTCCCTGAAAGGCAGTGGGGGATGGGAGAGTCCCTGGACCCAGTCCTGGAGAACTGATATCTATTCTTAACTCCCAGGTCAGCCGGGTGATCTTAGGCAGGCCACAGGCACTGCTGGGCCGCCAGGTGTTAGCATCTCTGAAATAATGGAAATGTGCAGGATGCTCGTCCCATACAAGATTAGTGGGGAAATCCTTAGCCCCCCAAAGATGGGGGGGCATTTGTTTTTCCATTAATTCAACAGGCATTTAAGGAGTGTGTGCTTCTTGCCTGAGGGGTGCAGAGTGAGCGTAGGCAGTGAAACCAAGAATCCTGCCCTTAGGGAACCGCTCTCCTGGTAGAACCTGGTGAATTCTAAGGGTGCAAATGAACGGCTATTGCATGTGGACAAATGAATGATGAAGGATGAAATGCTACACAGATATGATGGGTTAGTGTTCCCACGGGGCCCACGACAATTTAGCGCTGTCCCAGTGCCCTGAATTACAAGGAACCAGGGGACCAGGTTTACAGAAATCTGGCTTGGATCTATTAGAAATTGCATCTCTTGGCCGGTGCAGCGGCTCACTAGGCTAATCCTTCGCATTGTGGCGCCGGCACACCGGGTTCTAGTCCCGGTCGGGGCGCCGGATTCTGTCCCGGTTGCCCCTCTTCCAGGCCAGCTCTCTGCTGTGGCCAGGGAGTGCAGTGGAGGATGGCCCAAGTCCTTGGGCCCTGCACCCCATGGGAGACCAGGAGAAGCACCTGGCTCCTGCCATCAGATCAGTGCGGTGCGCCGGCCGCGGCGGCCATTGGAGGGTGAACCAATGGCAAGAGGAAGACCTTTCTCTCTGTCTCTCTCTCTCACTGTCCACTCTGCCTGTCAAAAAATAAATAAATAAATAAATAAATAGAAATTGCATCTCTTGCTGCTTCCTGCTCTTGCTGGTCTAAGTTCTGCATTCCCCGAACACATCTCTGAATGTGCTAAGGGCAGGTGGAGGCCTTGGCAGACAGCAGGAATCACAGAGATCCATCCGGCAGACTGACTTCTGCACCCCTTGGGACCTCCAGCACATCCCAAGGTCATCAAAGAGGGAAAGAGCCTCAGAGCTCGCCCGGGTCCAACCCTCGTTTTCCCCGCTGGAGAAAGTGAAGCTGAAAACCAGGGGCTGGCTGGTGGACGCAGCATCCTGGAAGCGGCTCTCCGTCAGGTCCAGCACGGTCTCCTGCCCCCACCGCTGCAGCTCACCTCTGAGGAGGACCCTGCCTCTCCCTGTCCACGCACCTCACGCTCACGGCGCCTCCTCCTGGCCAGAGGCCCCAAGGGTCACCTCTTGGCTGTGGCCACTCCCACAGGTGTAACGCTCTCCCTTCCCGCCCCTTTTCCTTGCAGGAAATGTTCGGGAGCATGTTTCACACGGAGACCTTGACTGCCCTGTGAGGGCCCAGTCGTGCCCACGCCGCCTGCGGAGCGCCTGGCACCGGGGACTGCCGTGCTGGACAAGCCTGGATCACACAGAGGGACTGGGACAGGAGAGCGTGCCCATGGGACCTGGCTCCTGTCTCCCCCTCCTCCTCCTCTCTCCTTCCCCTGCCTCCGCCCTGCAGCTCTAGAGGGAGCCATTGCAGCGGGAACCTGCCCTGAGAGGTGGGAACTCACTCTTCGCCCCTCCAGACCCTCACTTGGGCCCTGGCCAACCCTGAGCAGGCCTTAGGCTTCCTCGACCCCTCCCACCATGCCCTCCCTTCCCGTGGCAGCTGAGAGAACCTGGACTTCGGGATTGCACGAAGGAGCCAAGAACAGAAGGCCGATTCCGCTGCGCTCACCTGCTGCACAAGCTCCATAAAGGGTGCTCGGCTTGTAGGGCTGGGTATCAGATGGTGTGAGGCCATCACAGGACTCAGGATAGCCTTGGTGGGGACCCTGTGACCTGCCCTCCAGCTGCCTCAACTCTGTCCCTGGTCACTCTGCACCCCTGGGACCGTGTGCTCCTCACAACCCAGGAGGCTGCATCTTGGGGTTAATGCCCCTTTTTCCTCTTCCAAAGGCTACTAAGACCTGCACTGCTGTTGAGCTCATAGGACTCCAGCCTGGGCAGCGGCCATGGCCCTCCAGCCCATCAGAGCTACCTCCCCCGGGGCAGCCCACCAAGGGGCCACCTCAGCCTTCTGAAACTTCACACACACACACACACACACACACACACACACACACACTCAGGGGCAGCTCCCGTCCATTAAGGCTGGGTAGGAACCTGAAAAGGGCAAAGGCGGCTGGCAGAACCTTCTGGCAATCTAGTGGCAGGTACCAGTTGTTCTGCACAGCAACTTGAGGGGTGCTAGTGCCAACCCAGGGCAAACTGGTAGGTCCAGGGCCTGACAGTTCCCCTGATCTCAGCGCCCATCAGAGGAATGCCTCCCTCAGCAGAAGGGCCAAAAGCCAGCATTTTAACTCTCCCTTATAGGCTCACCAACTGGAGCCATGATGAGGTCCTTCTAGCAGGTGAGAGAGGCCACCCCTCCACACCCCAGGACCAGCCGGTTTATCCAGATGAGCTCTCGCTCCACCTTAACCACCCTAGGGCCTGGGTCTTCTTCTCGGAAAGAATGAACACAGGAGTTAAGTCCTCCATGTCTACAGGGACGTCACTAGTCAACCTCACTGCTGACTTGAAAATAAATAGGTTCCACGTGCACGTGTTTTGTAAAAATTCCCAGGGAAGTGCACAGAAAATCCGGCCTCTCCTCCCTGTTCCTCTAAATCTCCTTCCACGGAATGGCCCCTGCCGCAACAGGTTGGCTGGCCCAGCCTGGGAACACATCCCAACCCCGAATGTTGGCCTGGCCTGCGTTATGTGCCTGTGTGTTGAGTGAGCCGCTCAGCTACTGAGTCTTCTGAGGGTTAAGGGACCGGGTGCGGGCAAGGAGCCAGCACATTCTTGGCCCGTGAGCCTTGCTCCTCTGTGAATTCATTACGCCATGTGGCTGCCAATGGAACTCAAAACTTGGAAGGCAGAAGACAATGTTATCTGGGATTCACCGTGCCCAGCACTTGAAGTGCCGAATTCCAGGAGGACCAGAACCTTAGCCAATGACAACTCACCCTCCCCTGCTCCACCTCCTCCAAAGTCCAGCTCAGGCCCAGCAGGCAGGGGAAGGTCACAGAGCCTCAGCACAGCCCAAGTCACGGTGCCCCTTTGAAGCAAGTGTCCAGGTCCCTTGAGGACTTCGTGGGGTGACCCCAGAACTGAAAGGGATTGCTGACTCGCAGTGGCCTGGCACTGGGGCTCAAGGAGGAATCTGCAACCTGTCCAGGGCCCAAGGACACGGAGTCTCTAGTGGTGGTGTGATTGCAAAGTCACGGAGCAGAGGGAAGACACTGAAGAAAGCTTCACTGCTGGAATATTCTGGAAAGAACACAAATGTCGCCCAGATCGCTCCTGTGGACATGACTGGGGCAGGGAGGGAGTTGGCACAGTGGTGGAATTATCCAGAATTTCAATACTTTTGAATGTGCTTAGTAGCACTGACCTGTGATGATATGATTTCTGGGGAAGCTTCTCTACTGCTATTTGTATAATTTATTTAATTTAAATGCCATTCTCCTTTTGTTCACTTTGGTAATAAAGTGGTTTTGCAACATGAAGAAAGGCATGCATTGGGGTGGTTTTACAGAGAGGCAAAACAAGTCACCGCCAAGGACAGCTGGCCTGGCCTTGCACTGCCCCGAGGAGCAGCAGGCACCGAGAGTCCTCCTTGAATCTCCGCGGGTTCACTCCTGCGAGTGGAGACACTTCCAGATCCAGCTGGAGAGTAGGGAGCAGGGAGAGGAGACTGGGCGGGGAGATCCCACTCCCAAGGCCAGGTCCAAGAGCGCACCTGTGCTGTGTGGCCACGAGGGAAGTCAAGCCCCCTCCTCCCTCTGCACTCCCTTCACTCAATCACCCTTTCACCTTCCTGAGCTGTTAAAAGCCAGTCCCCCCAACACTCAGCAAAGCCTTGGGATCCTTGGCTTGCAGGACACTCAGTGTAGCCCTGCCTTTCACAGCCCTGTTGGTGAGACAGCAACAGGACTCAAGCATCCCACAGGCTGGGCTGACCCTCAGCTGTGTTCACTAACAGTAGGGAAGCGAGGGAGACAAGAGGCATTGCAGAAAACCGAAGAGCAAAGCAATGAAGGAGACAGAAACAGGACAACGGGAAAGGAGACAATGGATCCACAAGATAGAGAGTCAGGGACTGGGAGAGGGAGAGCAGGCTGAAAGAGGATATCAACAGAGAAAGCCCCCTCAGCGAGTTCCTAAATGATATTTACTTAAGATAAACTCATCTTGCTTTAGCCTGCCATTCAGCTGGACTGTAGGGTTTGGGCAAATTAACTGTTAGCATCCCTCAGTTTAAGTTTTAGAAATTTTTTTTAAGTGATGCTATTTTAGTCTGAATCCTTCTGGAAGCAGAACCTGAGGATAAAGCCTATGCCCAGGCTACATAGGAAACGCTCCCAGGGAGGAGTGACAGGCAGGAGGAGGGGCACAGGGAGAGCCCACACAAGAATAAGCCACTGCATGGGGGCAGCTGCCCAAATGGGACGCCGGAGTCGCAGGCAGCAGCTTCACCTACTACGCCACAAGGCCGCCCCAAAACCCCTTCTTTTAAATAAATCTTTGTTGAAGGAAAAGCATGACTTCCAGCTCTGGAAAGCAGGGTGTGGCTCTCACAGCACCAAAGATTCTGCTTCGCGTTCTGCAGTGTGGAGTCCTAGTGTCGGACATCACCCTGCAGCCTTGCATGACCTGCCAGGGTGAGCCGGGCCCTTGATGACAGTCCTGGAACAGTTTGCTCACCTTTCCTTCAACATGGGCAGAGATTTGGAGTGCTGAAAGGAACCCGTTCCAGTTTAGAATTGGGGGGTGGCTGTCTTACGGTTGCTTCGGTTCCACTTCCAAACACCAAGAAAGCCAGGCTGTATTCATACATGACAGTCTGGATGGATGTATGTGGAACAATAGGCCAAGACGGATCTCAAAGCTGACAAGTTACAGAAATGCCTCTGATCTAGATGCTGCTTCTGTGCCTCTCAGTCCCTCCCGAAGCCATGGCAATGCCACACCTCTTCCTTCTTCCCTGGGGCTCTCCTGATGCCACAGCACGGGACGCTTGGGAAGTGCGCTGCACTCACCCCCACACAACCTGGCATTGTGAGAGAGCTAATCCCCTGGGGGCTCCCTGAGCGATGGAGATGGGAGCACAGCTGGCAGGTGCACCCCACAGGGCTCCCGGGAAAGCAGGTGCCCGCCACAGCACCTCACTCTTGTGCGGGCTCTCCCTGTCCCTCTCCGCCTGCCTGCCACTCCTTCTCCCTGGGACCATTTCCTATGTAACCTGGGCACAAGCTTGGTCTCAGGTTCTGCTACCAAAGAGAGTCAACCTCAAATGGCATCACTAAGAAAAAACCTAGAACTCCAATGGGAGGGATGCTAATTGCTAACTTACCTTAACCCCTGCGGACCAAGCTGAATAGCAGGAATCATGTTGCACAGGCGGCTAGCACGTGCGCTTTGTCCGCTATGCCACAGCATCAGCCCCTATAATTGAATTTTTTTTTTTTGACAGGCAGAGTGGACAATGAGAGAGAGAGACAGAGAGAAAGGTCTTCCTCTTGCCGTTGGTTCACCCTCCAATGGCCGCCATGGCCGGCGTGCTGCAGCTGGCGCACCGCGCTGATCAGAAGCCCAGAGCTAGGTGCTTCTCCTGGTCTCCATGGGGTGCAGGGCCATCTTCCACTGCACTCCCTGGCCACAGCAGAGAGCTGGCCTGGAAGAGGGGCAACCGGGACAGAATCCGGCGCCCCGACCGGGACTAGAACCCGGTGTGCCGGCGCCGCTAGGTGGAGGATTAACCTATTGAGCCGCGGCGCCAGCCTATAATTGACTTTTAAAAACAGAAAATCCACCAACACAATGAAAAGTTTTATTATACTTCTTCCTTTGTTGATAAGGCATGCAGATTTTTAAAAAATCTGTGATATAGATGAATAAAACCATAAATAAAATTTTGATTTAATGCACATATTATATATGGAACCCTCCATAAAACAATTCAAATTTACATGCTATAAAATTGGCACACACTAGGTTCTTAGGCAAGTCTCAACAAATTTCTCTCTCTCTCTCTTGTTTTTAGATTTATTTATTTACTTGAGAGGCAGAATTACAAACAGAGAGAGGGAGGTCTTCCATCCACTCTTTCACTCCCCAAATGGCCACAATGGCCAGAGCTGAGCCAATCCATAGCCAGGAGCCAGGAGCTTCTTCTAGGTCTCCCACATGGGTGCAGGGGCCCAAAGACTTGGGCCATCTTCCATTGCTTTCCCAGGCCATAGCAGAGAGCTGGATTGGAAGTGGAGCAGCCAGGACTCAAACCAACACCCATATTGAATGCCAACACTGCAGGCGGCGGCTTTACCTGCTACACCACAGCACTGGCCCCACATTTGTTTTATTTTTAAAAAGACTTATACATGTACTCATTCATAAGTATTTATGGATAAATAAAAATGAGACAAAACCAGAATATTCTTAGTGAATACCTCCAGATGCTGTGATTTTTTCATTATACTTTTCAGTATTTTCCAAATATTTAATAAGGATCTAAATATTAACTTTAAAATCATAAAATCTTTTAAAGCTTGGTAGGAACTAAACTACTTTTACTAAAAATTCTGGCATGCTCACACTTTTAAATGTCAACTCTATTTTAATTATTCTAGATCTTAAGCTGAGCAGTGAGTCCAGAAATGTTCATTACATTACTCCTTACACTTTTCTGTGTATGTAAAGAATTTCAGCTTTTCTCCACTATCGTGGTGAGTACACCTGACTCCTCCTCACCAGGTCTTCTCCCAAGATGTTCAGAATCAAAAGATTCCTAGACAAAAAAGAAAAAAAAAATCACCCCATTCCCCAACGGATTCAGATGAAAACTAGAAACAAAATCAGGTATAACTCTAAGAGGAAACCCTGGAGAAGAACCAAGCTGCCTATGTAAGGCAGTGCCCTTGAGGCGGATGGCTCACAGATTTATACTGTATCAAGGCCACTATGTCCTTTTTTATTTTTATTTACTTTTTTATTTATTTATTTTTTTTTTGACAGGCAGAGTGGACAGTGAGAGAGAGAGACAGAGAGAAAGATCTTCCTTTGCCGTTGGTTCACCCTCCAATGGCCGCCGTGGCCGGCACGCTGCAGCTGGCGCACCGCGCTGATCCGATGGCAGGAGCCAGGTGCTTTTCCTGGTCTCCCATGGGGTGCAGGGCCCAAGCACTTGGACCATCCTCCACTGCACTCCCTGGCCACAGCAGAGAGCTGGCCTGGAAGAGGGGCAACAGGGACAGAATCCGGAGCCCCGACCGGGACTAGAACCCGGTGTGCCAGCGCCGCTAGGCGGAGGATTAGCCTAGTGAGCCACGGCTCCGGCCGGTCACTATGTTCTTAACACATCAAGCTGAAGATGTCACCATTGTCTGGGCAGCTGGACCTGTTTGATTGGGGCTGTGACTAGTGGATCAATTCGGTAATAAATACATGAAGTGTTTTGGGAAAAAAAAAAAGAATTTCATAATATTGTCATTAAATTGGTATTGAAAAGTTACTACATGGTTGTAGTCTTTGAAGCAGAAATAGAGAAAGGGTTCGTGCTAAACACTCCCTCTCTAAGCAAACACCGGCAGTATGGGCTTGAGCTTGGGTCACGGGTAGTTGCGTGGTCCTGCTGGCTGCAAGCCTTCACAGACTTTTTCTTGAGAATTCTAAAATGTGAGCCTGGTGCCAGATGAAATTGCAACAAGGAATCTGGAAGGAACAGTTTCCTGGCTTCAAGAAATCAAATTTTATATCTCTGTGTCATAAGAGGTTTTTCCTCCCCCCAAGAATGATCCTCTACTCTGAGCAGATATGAAATTTATTTGTGTAATACATCAAAATTACTGATACAATAATCTCCACTTACCAAGGGGGGTGCATCCCAAGACACAACCTCCCTGCCTGTGGAACCCAATCCAGGTCTCCACGTGGGTGGCAGGAATCCTATCAGGTAAGCCATCAACTGCTGCCTGCTGGGGTCTGCTTTAGCAGGAAGCTGGAATCAAGAGTCAAAAGTGGGTATCAGATCCAGCGACTGGGGTAGGGGAGCAAGTGTCTTAATTTGTGTCCGGCAACTGAACCATTCGGCCAAATGCCCACCCCAGACAACGCATTCTTATTGTAGATTTTAGCAACCTCAGTATGTGATTTTTTTTCTTTCCTTATCAAGCCAAGAGTTTTCATCTTTTCATTTAAAGGAAGTATTTTATCACTTCTCCTTGGCATGGCCAAATTGCCAGCATCACTGGGTAATAAGTACAATAGAGGTTACATGAACACAAGCACTGTGACCCCACGACGGCTGATCTGATCATGGAGGTTGCTGCAAAGTGACTGACAGTTGGGATGTGACGGACAGAGGGATGAAGTATGCCCCAGGAGGGACAGGGCTGACATGGCAAGAGCTCATTACGCTGCTCAGGATAGCATGCAATTAAAAACCTATTAATTACTTAGGCTTGGAATTTACCATGGGATAGTCTGACCATGGAAAACTGAAACCACGGGAAGTGAACTCCTGAACCTCAAAATTCCCTTAAATCTATTTACTGTAATCTTTCCGTCTCAGTGTATCTGCCTAGAGTTGCAAAAAAAAAAAAAAAAAAAAAAAAAAAAAAAAAAATGTGGTGTTCGAATTAACATCCAAAACACCTTCACAGAAATTCCTGCACAGGAGCCAACCCTCCGAGCTGGACCATCAGAGACACCGGGACAGACCCCCAGCCAACCTAGGGAATGGCCGTCACCTGCCAGGGGCAGAGCCGGGGCTGATACGCGTCCTTCACGGTCTTGCTTTCTCCTCCTTTAGCTCGACGTGTTATCCTACAGCAGGGGATTTACCTCAAGTAGATCAAAAGACCTCAACCCAGCCCGAGGCCATCGCTCACCTGCGTCCCGCCCCCGTCAGCTACACGCCAGAAACCACAACCCCCAAGAGGCCTTGCGAAGTTAGGGCGGGCCCTTCCTGTCGATTGGTTGTTCCGCAGCCATAGCCAAGTTGTGATTGGCCATGTCTGGGAAAGGGGTGGGGCTAAGGCCGATCGTTGCGATTAGAGCAGTGTCAAGACACGGCGGGGGCGGGCCGTCTGGGCGCTCAGGTCCAAACTCCAGCGGCTGCTGGTCGGGGAGACGCCAGGGAAGCATGGCTCCGCGGTATTTTCACATGCTGGCCTTGGCGGCTGGGCTGCTGCTGATTTTCGCCACCGTCCCCAGATCCAAGAGCCAGAGGAGCAGGAGGTATATGGAGACGTCGCGAATCCCTTCTCGATTCAGCCAAGAGGAGAGCGCAGAGATGAAAGAGGCGCTGAAAGGTGAACCTTAGTCCCCTTGACACGCCCCCCGCAGTGGGCTCCCGCGGTCCTCGGGTCAGCCCGTGACCTGCCCGCGCCTCCGTGGCGTCCCCCGCTCTGGCCGCTGCCGTGTCGCACAGCTCAAACCTGCCCCGGCCTCCAGCCCACCACCCAGGCCCCTGCTTGGGGATGTCCCCCCTCCTCCAGGCCGGGCTTCTGGGACTTTGGACTCCAGCCTGGAAGTTCCAGCATTGCCCTCAGGGCCCGGCTGCCGCCCACCTACGCTCTGCTGCAACAGCTTTTATTTGTACAGCACTTTGAACCCCTGAGAGTTTTTCACATCTGTTAAATCACAGCTGAATCTTAAAATGAGGCTCCAGTATCTTAGTCTCATCCACAGAGGGGGTCAATGAAGTGATCTTAGGGCTCACAGCGAGGACTGGGCCCTGGCTGCCAACGTCTGGGGCCTGTAGGCCTCGCTGGGCGTCCGGAGGCTCCGAGAAGAGGTATGAGTGTTCCGGGGTGTAGTTCGCTCCGAGAGCCTTCTCTTTCCTGGAGGACATCTCCCCTAGATCTCTAACCAAGGCTGAAATCCCTTCACTTCCACCTACGTTTTCCAGAAGGAAAGAGTAAAGTTTCTACTGAGCGTCGGAGCCTGTGGGATAATGAAATCCTTCCTGATGGCTTCAAGCCAGTCTTTCCCTTTCATTAAGTAGTGGGTTTAGAGAAACTGCTTACACACACATGTGCAGGCAGATGCAGGGACACAAAGCTAATGCCTGTGACTGGATAGAGAGGGCGCTGGGAGGCAGAGATGAGCCGTGGTATCAAGCCTCCTCTGGAAGTCATTGGGAAGCCACTCAGTCTCCTTGCACGGAAGAAAGCAAAAGCCCAGTGAGAGCTGAGGGAGGACTTCATACCATCCTGGCGTGCATCTGAGTTCGGGGCTTGGGCCTGCTCTCAGGCAGTTTATCGCCTTGGACCTCAGTTCTGCACACACAGGGCCCATCTCACATGTGGTGGGCCGTGATGTGTGGGCTTGATCCTCAGCAAAAGTGAACACGCACCGAAGTAAGTCTCTCTTCTGGAGACCCTCCCTGAACAGGTGTATGTGGTGCCCTGTGTCTTTGCAAACAAAGCCTTCTGCCCCAATGTTCTGATGGATCGTTGGGTGTCCCCTCCCAAGAGTGTTTTTATGTACGTACTTATGGATCTATTTACTTATTTGAAAGGTGGAGGTACAGAGAGAGAGGGAGTGGTAGACGTCTTGCATTAGCTGGTTCACTCCCCAAATGGCCACAACGTCCAGGGCTGGGCCAGATCAAAGCCAGGAGCTTCTTCAGGATCTCCTATGTGGGCGCAGGGGCCTTGACACTTGCCCGTCTTCCACTGCTTTCCCAGGCCATTGGCAGGGAGCTGGATCGGAAGTAGAACAGCCAGGGCTTGAACCGGCGCCTATATGGGATGCTGGCATGGCAGGTGGGCCATAGCGCTAGCCCCTAACGGAAACCCTTAAGACTATGAAACTTTCAAGACTCAAAGGATGGAAAAAAAAAAAGAAAAAAAAAAGACTCAAAGGATGAGCCCAGGGCAAGTCAGGAACTGAAACGTGTGGGTAGAGAAGATGAGATTATTTTTGGACTGAGAAGCTTTTTGGTAACTCCCCGGGCATCATGTGCTCAAAAAGCAGGCCTTGACTGAGAGTTCACTGAGGCTCTGGGAAATAGCCCACACTTCACACAAAGCACACAAGCCTCCTTGATGTGGGGACCGGGGACAGTGGATTCCTTGAGATGGATGAGGCTCGGAATCCTCAGAGAGTGATGACCTCAGAGGTGGAGTGAAGCCCTAGGAAACGCTGTACCAAAGCTTCTCCTGGGGTGAGGGTCTCCAGTCTCCTTAAGAACTGGATGGGTTTTTTTTTTTTAAACAGGCAGAGTGGACAGTGAGAGAGAGAGACAGAGAGAAAGATCTTCCTTTGCCGTTGGTTCACCCTCCAATGGCCGCCGCGGCCGGCGCACCGCGCTGCGCTGATCCGATGGCAGGAGTCAGGAGCCAGGTGCTTCTCCTGGTCTCCCATGGGGTGCAGGGCCCAAGCACCTGGGCCATCCTCCACTGTACTCCCTGGCCACAGCAGAGAGCTGGCCTGGAAGAGGGGCAACCAGGACAGAATCCGGCGCCCCGACCGGGACTAGAACCCGGTGTGCCGGCGCCGCTAGGCGGAGGATTAGCCTAGTGAGCCGCGGCGCCGGCCCAAGAACTGCATGGGTTTTAGTCCTGGGTCTTCTGCCGGTTGACTGGCAGTCTTCGGCAAGCAGAGTTCTTTTCTCGTCTTCGAAGGCGGGAAAACAACATCACTGACCCTACAGAACTGTTTTGCGCTCTGCAATGAAGCAGTGAATGCAGAGGCTGGGATTTGGCGCAGGGGGTAAGCTGCCACTTGGGACACCTGCATTCCATTTTGGAGTATCTGGGTTCGAGTCCTGGCTCTGCTTATGATTCCAGCTTCTTGCCAATGTATAACCTAGGAGACAGCAGCTGATGGCTCGAGTACTTGGGTCGCTGCCACCATGTGGGAGTTCTGAATTGAGTTCTGGGCTCCTGTTGTAGGCATTTGGGAAGTGAACCCATATATGGAAGGTCAGTCTCTCTCCCTCTCTCTCTCTGCCCTTCAAATAAAAATAATTAATTTAAAATTTTCAAGATAATTAATACAAAAGAACTTTTTGAAAAACGAGGACCATGAGAAAAAAAAGCAATGTCTGTTATCACCTTTAATCTTCCATCTCTGATTGACGCTCTGACAGGTGCCATCCAGATTCCAACAGTGTCTTTCAGCAGCACGGAGTCCAACACCACAGCCCTGGCTGAGTTTGGAGAGTACATCCGTAAAGGTGAGCTGCAAAGCATGGGCGTGGGGTGGGAGAGGTAGCACTGGAGGCAGGGTTCTTTTGCAAGAGGATAGAGAAATTTATTTTGTCACCAATCAAAGACCAAATTCCCATGGGTCACTTCTGAGTTTGCACACAGCATGGAGCCGGTGTTGTGGCAGTGGTTAAGCCACTGCCTGTGACACAGGCATCCCACTGAGTACCAGTGGAGTCCCAGATGCTCCGCTTCCAATCCAGCTCCCTGCTAATGCATACGATGGCCTAAGTACCTGGACCCCTGACTCCCATGTGGGAGACCCAAAAGAAGCTCCTGGCTCCTGACTTCACTCAGGCCCAGCCCTGGCCATTGTGGCCATTTGGGAAGTGAACCAGTGGATGGAAGATTCTCTCTCTTTCACTTTGTCTCTCCTTGTCTTTCTGTAACTCTTTCAAATAAATAAAAAAAAAATTTTTTTAAAGAACTAAGCCACATAACTGTCGGATTGGAGTTTGAACTCTCTCAAGCTTTTCCCTAAATAAGTATCTGCAAAGAAACAATATAATCAAAACGTCGAGCCAGGATTCCTTCTACCTGAGTACATTTCCTGCCCCAAGCTCCCTCCACCCCGTCTCCACAGCTCTGTACACACTGCACCTGGCCAGGTCTTCTCCAGACTCCTTATGTGTGCATTTCTAAGTCTCTAGACAGTCGCACACCTCGAGCTCCTGTGTCAGTCGTCTCTCCTCACCCCTGCTCCCCATGCAGGAGGGAGCTAGGCAAGGTGGATCAGGAAAAACAAGGCCTGGAACCCCTCCTACCCTAGGAAGGCCTTATGAAGAGTAAGGAGGCAAACCTTCTAAGTCCGATTTAAAACCAGCCCTTCCAGAGTTGTTGGAGGTGGGAGAAGCTGGCTTAGGAGCAGCAAGTAGACCCCCGCCTCTAACACTCTGGAAAAAAATGGTTCTGGCATTAATGCCAATAGCTAAGTAGCTAACAGGGGCCAAGTTGGAAGTCTTTACTAACTAAGAGATAGGGATAGGCGTTTGACCTATTAAGACATTGCTTGGGATACATGCAGCCCGTGTCATCAGAGTATCTAGGTCCCAGCCAAACTCCACTTCCTACCCTGCGAGGTAGCAGGTCATGGCTCAAATAGTTGGGCCCGTGCTACCATGTGGGAGTCCTTGGCTCCTGGCTTTGGTCTTGTGCAGCCCCAACTGTTGTGGGAGTTTGGGGAATGAACCAACAGATGGGAGTAATCACAGTCGCTTGTTCTCTCTCTGTCTGTCTCTCTCTGCCTCTCAAATAAGTAAAATTAAAAAGAAATAAAAATTGACATTTGATTTTAAATAAATAAAAAAGTAGAGAACTAAATATGTAGTGACAGAAAACTAGAGAAGCTGGGTGACAAGATACAACCATAGTCTTCTAATCTCTGGATTATTTTTTATATACATGTCATGTTTGGTTCCAAGTAATTTGGACACCAGGAACTACTATATTCAAAATTTTACATGCTCTTCATCTGTGTAGCCCGTGAGTGTGAACTTGTGGCAGGGTGTTCTAGGTCAGACCAAACCAGATCATGAGATACCGTCAACGGTAGAGCCTTGCTTTGCATGTTGTTAAATAATAACAGCACATTAAACATAGGGAAGAGGAATTTCAGAGATTGCCCATACAGATCAGAATTCAGACTGGCTTTGTCCCAGAAGGCTTCTTAAAGGAGAACACTTGGTTT